ACCGCCGGTCGTGGTAGTTGCGCGGGTTGACGGCGTAGTGCTCGTCCCACAGTCGAGCCGCGGCAGCAACGCTCTGCTCGGAGGCGGCGGCCGGCGCGAGCGGCTGCGCGGCGATGAGCGTTTCGGCTGTCGTGCGCTCGTCGGCGCTGAAATCCACATCGTCCCAGGCGTTGTGCGTCAGCACGGTGTCGGCCGATGCTGCGGCGGGCAGGCGGCGCTCCCGCACGCGGCTCTCAGAAGGTGCCGCCACCCTCTCCGCAGCCCACCGTGCGCGCGTCTCTGCGGCGCGTGCCTCTGATCTCTCCCGCCTTCTCGCTCCGGTTAGCGTCGCGGAATCGATGCTTGACATGCTGTCGGTGGATGTTGCTCGGGGCGGCAGCTGTCCTTTCTTTTTTGTATGAATTCTGAGGGGTCAACGACGAAAGAACAAGCAAGCGCAAACGGCCTCTACCCCTCGGCCCCAGTGGGGGTTGCCCAGCTCTGAGAGAGAGAAAGAAAACAGACAACCCAAGGGAGGGATGGGAGGACGGCACGCCGCCACCACACAGGGATTTTAAAGCTCTGAGAGAGAGATTTTTAGCAACACCAAATGTTTGTTTTTGTTTTTGTAGCTCTGCGGACGGGAGGAAGGAGAGGCGGCCCCTCCACCCTTCACGTACGGATCATGTAGTCCCCACAATCGCTGTCGTGGGGTCGCTTGTCATGTGAGGGACTGCGTTGTGTTCTTGTGACCGCGCAAGATAAAAGGGTGGCTAAGGGCTCTGCCCGCAAGGCGCCCGCGTCGCAGACGCGGTACCATTGACAAATCTGCGATATACCCCCACACGAGCAAATAGCAAAATCCGAATACCGTGCACGAACTGCGTGATGTGGGATGCAAGCCTTCAGCTGGTGCCAAGACATCGTAAAATTGAGCCAAGAACGTCCGCCAAATCCGTGCTTTCGCGCTACCTGAGGGGAAAGCCGCTGATCGAGCCCAGCGTGCCCGCGGCCGCCTCCCGCGCAGCACCGCCGCTGCGGAATCGGATCGAGCCCATGGAGGAGGAGGGCGCAGTCGGCCAGCGCAGCAGGCGGAGTCCCTCCCCGCGCCGGAGCCCCCCTGCAGTCGAGGGAGTCCTCGTTGGCGATGAAGGTGGCGACATCGAATCGCGGCCGACACACGTCACGGGAGGAATGGGCGATGAGCGGGAACGATGCGCGCTACGACGCCGACTCCGCCGTGCTCGTGGCCGCAGAAAGCCGCGCTCCAGGAGCACGCCAAGATGCAATGGCTCGCTTGCTTCGATTCAGCTCTCTCGGCAGCAGAAGTGGGGCTGGAGCGGGTGGGGGTGGATGCCGATTGAGGGGGAGCGTCTCCAGCTGCGCCCTGTGGCAGCTGCGCCCTGTGGCAGCTAGTCGAGGGACTTGGTAGTTGTGACCCCCCTGAGTGAGGACAGGACTCAGGAGAGAGAGAGCGTTTTGTGGTGTTGGTGTACGCAATAACGGGACAGGGTGGTTGTTCTCTCTATCTCCTCTTCTAGCTCTTAGCATGAGCTGCGCCCGGTGTCCGACCCCTTTTGCGCAGCAACACCTTAAACTTTTAGGCCCTCCAAATTCGGGTCGGAGCGTAGCGGAGTGGGCCCCGAGTTTGAAAAGGGCGACGGACGCTTGCGTCCTAGCCTCCAACAACGCCTCCCCGGCGCAGAGGGGCCCCCGGAGGGATGCACAACCGCTCCACGCCACGCCGCTTGCGGCGGTCCTCTTCCCAGCTCCGCTGAGGGCCCGTGCGTTATTTTCCTTTCTCTTTTGGAAGCCCCACTCTCTGTATGTATGTACTCTCTGACAGACCCCCTATCCGAGTAGGAGCCGGAACCCTGCTAGCTGCTTGGCCAGGCAAAGCGTGCGCGCGAGCAGCGAGCGCCCCGAGCAAGCGAGCGCCTCGAGGCGGCTCGATGACTGCCGCAGTCGATTCGGCGCCACCACCGCCGCCGATCAACGACCTCTCGTGGAAAGTTGTTGCGCAGATGTATGCGTGCGGCGCCCTTGCCTCCGCAATTCTCGGCATCGTTCACTATTTCGACGCTGCAGAGTCTCTTCGCGGTGCGTGGGTCATATTCGCTCCATTCATCCCCTCGTTACTCTATGCGCTGTGGCGGCACCGCCAGCAGCGAGCAGTCAAATGCAAGGAAAGCTGACAACACGGCCGCCGGTATCTGCCAGAATCGCCGCCGATGGACGGCCGCAGCCTCGGCGGCTGTAGGATTCCTACACGTGCGCGAAGAGGACGCGCTTAACTCTGCCGACGATTCCTCTCTTTCACGGAGGCAGCCCAACGACAGACCAGCGCGCGGTGAACGCGCACGCGGTGTGCACAGTGTATTCTGATTTATTTTTTCCGCTTCGGGCTACGGCCTTATTCTGTCTCGCAAGAAAGCTCCCGCTGCACACGGAGAGCGGGGCGCCCCGGCCGGTAGAGGTCTGAATAAGGCGATCTGACAAAGGCGATCTGACGACATGGAATGACTCTGCGGAGGAGCTCGACGTAATGTTGCGACTGGCGCGCACGGCCTCGGCGCCAGCCGCCGCGAGCCAAGCGCAACATGACAGCAATTCTGCTGCTGCGCGGGTCCGCTTGTCGTGTGGATCACGCCGATCCCTCCTGGCCAACGCGCGGGTAGCCGATCTGGCGGCGCACCTCTCGTATCCGCGCGATTGCGTCGCGGTTGCGGCGGAGCAGCTGGCGCATCGCCGTGCGCCTGTCCGAGGACGTGCTCGAGACGTGGCGGCCGCGCGTCGTGTTGTGGCGGTACACGTTGTGCTTCTCCGAGACACGCGCGAGCGCCGCGAGCTGCGCCGCCTCCCTCACGCCCAGCAGCGCCCACAGCGAGGAGAGCGTCCCCTCCCAGTCGCGCGAAAAGTCCTCGAAGCGCAGGGTGAGCGTGCACGGCCGCGCGCCGACCCGCGCGTGCAGCCGCGGCATCGTCTTGAGGTTGTCGCGCGCCGAGTGCCGCATCTCAGCCAGCAGGCCCGCCTCGAGTGGCAGCGCGTTGAGGTACCGCCGGTACGTGGTGCCGTTCCAGCGCCTCTCGGGGCGGTTCGCCCACCGCTCGGTGGTGCGCAGGTGGTAGCTGTAGCCCGACAGCACCAGCTCGAGCGGGTCGCGCACCGCGTGCACGAAGCGGTACGCCTCGGCCTCGGCGCCAGGCGGCGCGGCCGCCAGGCCCTGGAAGCGGATGCCGTGCTGCAGGAAGCAGATCCTGGCGCCGAGGACGCGCGCCTCGCTGGCCGAGGCGCAGTGACGGCCGCCGTCGTGGTTGAACACGCACGTCCAGCGGAGCGCTCTGCACGCGTCCCTGAGCAGGTGCGTGAGCAATACCGTCCCCGACTTGTGGTGCGTGCCGACAAGGACGGGTGACGAGCCATCGCACTGCGCAAAGCGCGCCACCGAGGAAGGAGGAGGAGGCGACGCAGGCGGGTGCGTGGCGTGCCACCTCCAGATCACAACGCCGGCCAACGCTGTGTAGAGAAGCGTCCGCAACGTGGCGCGCGACGAGTCGACATCAGGCGACATGGTGGTGCGACCGACCATCGCAGCCCATATCAAGTGCCCGCCGCTACCCAGGCTCCTTTCTTTTTTGCCGCGATGGGCAGCGGTTTTCTTTGTTACCCTCGGCCCGCCTACTCGTAGCTCCGCGGACGGCCTCCACCCTTCACCGGGCGGAGGGCAAAAATATTTGCCCGTCGGGCATGGTCGACTCTGGCCCGACCCTCGACCTCGCGTTCGTGCATGACGACCTCTCGGCCGTGCACTCCCTCGTCCCGGCCGCAGCGCGCCGGGTGGCTGTGCTTGAGGCGGAGCTGGCGGCGGCAGAGCGCGAGGCGCCAGCCTTGCTCAAAGAGGCGGCACGCGAGATGGACGCGGCACGTGTCAAGCTGGACGGCCTGGCGCTGCAGTCGTCCGAGCTGGAGGACTCACTGGAGGCGCAGCGAGGCGCGAGCCAGCGACTCGAGCGCTCCTACGCCTCGACGCTCGGCACGCTGCGCAAGCTGCGCGCTGCCGAGGTGGTGCTCTCGACCCTCGTGCGCGCCGACGAGCTCGCTGCTCAGGCAGCGGGCTGGACGCCTCCAACGCGCGGCACCGTGTGAGGGCCCCGCTCGCACAACACGAGCCGCCTCCCCCACGCAGATGACGCGGGCCACTGCGAGCGGCGCCGCCCACGAGTGGACGGCTGCGGTGGCGCGGCTGCTGCTGCTCCACACCGTCGTCACCGCGCACTCGGCTCGCGACGGAGAGGCCGGGGAGGGTGGCGACGCGGCCGAGGAGCAGCGGCTCGGCGGCTCGCTCGCCGTTTTGGTGGGAGAGATGCTGAGGAGGGCGGTGGAGCCACTCCGGGCTGCGGCAGAGGAGCGGCTGGGCGAGGCGGTCAAGGCGAAGTGTAGCCGAGAAACAGCTGTGGCGGGAGGAGGGGCCGCCTCCCCTTCCCCTCCCCCCGCCCTCACACCGCGGGCGCCTCCTTCTCCAAAGGCGACGGGCTGGCCTGCGGCGCCGGCGGCGAGCGAGGAGGCGCCCTCGCTGCGCGAGCAGAGGCTCGGCGAGGTGAGGCGGGCCGTCGGGGAGGTGCTGCTGCTCCAGTTCTGCGAGTGGGCCTCTTCCGGCGGCGGCGAGGGCGAGGGCGGCGGCGGCGAGGGCGAGGCTGCCGGCGAGGGCGAGGGCGGCGGCGGGCTGTGGGCGCTGGAGGCGTTTGTGCAGCCACTGCTCAAGCGGTTCCGGTACCACTTTGAGGGGCGGCGCGAGACCAACCGGGCGAGGCTAAGCCAGAATTGGGGCCTTCCCCCGCATTGCGTCGCCGGCAAAATGCCCTTCGGTCCCTTACCCCCTTGTTTTGAGCCGGGGAAAGGGTGCTACCTCCAAATGCTTGCTCGCGCCCCCCCCCTTCGGGGTCCTTTAATTTTTTA